ACTAACACAGACACTTTCTTAACCTTCTTGGCCAACATCTTGCTTTGAGTGTAAAAGAGTAGGCATTACATACAATTCCAAAATAGGAATATGCTCTGCTCTCTCCAAAGAAACAGAGTATTTAAGAGTGTGCATGCTTAATAAACACTATTTAGTGTACATATCAGTATTGAGAACTGTTTTAAAAGCTGAATTAGAAAAGTAATGTTTTTGATTGCCTAAATTATTTGTTTCTTTAGAATAAAATTCCATAATTCCTATTTTCACCAACTAAGTACTCTATAACAGGTGGTGGGTGGTGTGGATATGAAAAATAATAAGCCATGATCCCTGCTCTCAGGGAGCTGAGAGTCAGGTGCTCCTTCATAGTCAAGGGATGCTAATAATTAAGGAGAACAAACTGGTAAACACCTTGGATTATATTATAAGGTTCAGTACTACTAAAACTTTCAGGTCACTTCAATTTAGCATTAATACCCTCAAAGGTCACCTTCTAAAGGGAATATCTTATGTATGTCCTATGTATATGTGTCACACTAGAGTCAGTGTGTGTCCCCTGAGGGGTATATAGCAATTGAGGCAGGGGACGGGGGAGAAAACTGAGAGCCCACATGATAAACACGGTGCCTCTTTCTGGTGGCATCAATTTCCACAAAGACTGAAGGTATCATTTTTCACTAAAACAGTTTTATTATGGAGAATGCAAAAATCACATTTTCAAGACAGAACACGAAATTTCGAGTGCCGGCTGCTTCTGATTTTGCTCTCAGGCCCCTTCCCCCAAAACATTCATGCTCCTCTGCTTTAGGATTATGCTGGTGGAAAAATTCGAGAAGCAAACTTTAAAGATATGCCACTTTGCCCTTTTCTTGGTCACTTCAGTCATTCTTCTATGTTCTCTTTTTTAAGTACACAGTCTTGAATTAACAAAGAGAAGATATGTCTTAATGAATTTAATAGAATGGTGAATATTTTAAAGTAACCAACAGAAAACACTAACTTATTTCCAACTAGGAGTAAATTTAGGCTGTGTAGAGTCCAACAATGAGATATTCCCTCCTTTCCACTTAGACTCCTTATGGTTTATGTTAAGGTGGTTTGAGGGACAAATGTAAAAAAAAATTTATTTCCTCAGATCTTGTGCTTTGGATGCCCAAAGTACAAGGAAACCTGAAATAAAATGCCAGATCAATTGACCATTGATTTTGGTTAGTATGAGTCTGTCTTCATCAGTTTCTAGAACAATCTCAGAAAGCAAGTGAATTGTAAAATGCCATAATAAATTAAAATACAGTAGTATCCAAGCAGACCAAAAAAGATTATGCAATAGATTTAAAATTACTTCTTACAATGTCTTAAATATTCTCACAGTAATAACAAAATAACAAAAAGTCCATAAACAACAACAGCTTAGGAATAAGTTTAAAGCATTCTGAATGAATACAGTTAAGATTTCTTATAAGTGAGGTAACAGGGCAACAGTTTTTCACAGTAATAGAATGTGGAAGGTCACCTAGGGAAAGAGGGAGGTAGAGAGAAAAAGGCATAAAACACATTTATCCAAGCAGAATTTGGATTTTTCAGGCATCACAAACATCAATGGAAAACATCTGAGAGAAACACCAATAGCAGCAGTTTGTAGAACAATTTCTCCATTAAACTTCAGCTAGTATCTTTGTTGCATCAATTCCAGAAGCAACTTGCTTGAGAAATAGGAGGTCTATTCCCTATATAGATATTCCAAAGCATCCACTCTCTTAGAACCTTTCTGTCTGCTGAAGTTACAACATCCAAGTAATAATAATTTATATTTAACACAAACTCCTCAAATATCCTATACATTCTTCAAGATGAACGGAATTGTGTTCAAGTTGCACTTAATTTACAGGTTTAATTAAGCAGGTCTTTATACAGTGAATAAAGACTGAACTCATGCATCTACTACTCAACATATACAAAAACTATCTTGTGAGCTAAATTCTTCCAGATATGAAGTGAAACTCAAATGTTACTTTCAATGCTCTTTATGGTATCATCTTTGTTCCAACCTGAGATTTCAATGAAGGAACTTTAAAAAATTGTTAAACAGCTTTTTAGCATATGCCATAATACTAAAATGTTTAATTGTATTAAAAAAAATCCTTATTCCCTCTTAAACTGTCCCTGCTGGAGATGGAGAGCAGTCTGTCATATTACTTCTTGAGTTCTTCAATAAAAGATTTAAATAATAACTCAAGAGTTACTAAACTATCTCAACAACTTCCTCCCCTCCAGAGTTAAGTGATCTTAATCTTTTGTGCTTTTTCTTATAGGTCTTATTTATCAATCTATATTTCATTCTTTTTTATTTCTGTTATATTCTCCCCTCTCCAGTTTCCATGTGATCCGAAAACACAACATCCTAACAGGAACTGAATCCTATGAGGGTACTTTTCTTACCTCCTCAAAGGCCTCCTTGGCTGCTTCTTAGCAGTCACTAATAAAAGGAGACAAAGCATCACTATCTGCTCATCATAACAAGTAAACAACTTGCCCACAGCCAGTTCATTTCCCACCTTTCAGGTGGCAAGTTTGCTCTTCACATGAAGCATTTTCTGTGCCACTTTACTGAGTGCCATTTACTCTGCCACTTTTCTATTGTTTATTTCTACTGTTTATTTCCAGTGCTTTAAGCTTGCCTGATTAATTTTTTTCTTTTCCCCAAAGCTCTAGAAAATATCAGTTTTGATCTACACACTTAATGAGAAGGCACTCATTTCCATGATACTGTTCATAAAGAAAAAGATAATGTAGACCCTAAGGCTGAGCCCTACTGGCCAGTACTTCTGTTTTTCTTGGTTGTCTTGGGCCACTGAATTTATTTTGTTAGACACGTATACACCTACCATGTCAAGCTCCTGTTAAATATCACGCTCAGGAGCTTGGCTAGAATCAAATAATTCCTTCAATCTATACTCTTTGAGAACATTTGTAAAATTTTAATTTTAACTTTGGATATTTAAATTTTTGACATAAGAATCCAAGCCTTAATGACTTTTCACCTTGATTAAGACGACTCTTGTTGCATTATATTGTTGCATTCAAAACTGTTCTCTTTATAGTAGAATGACAAGCATGGCTTTAGTGATTATGAATGAGCTATTGTATCATTTTAGCTCCACTTTGTTCTTCAGTCACTGAAACACAGATACTAAAACAGAATATACATCATTTTCCATATATATATATATATATATAGCATTGTTCATACCACTTTGTAGAATATAGGCCATTTCCTAAATGACAATCTACATTCCTAAAAGCAAATAAGCAAAACATTCTACACATTTCTTCTTTAGTGCAAAGCCTTTGGAAACAAACTCATTCAGGAATAGTACTCTACATTTAGCTCTATTATCTACAGTCACACAAGATTCAGCTATAAGAAAGTAAGGAAGGAACAAATGAACAATAGTGGCAATACAGTAATTTGAAAATAACATTTGGATTATCTGGAGTCAGCCAAATATTAGCTGATAACTGCAATAAATCAAATCATGATTCAATAAATATTCTAGTCTAATTTTATATTATTATTTTTCTAGGAAATAAATTCTCTCATACCAGTTATCTCCCACAGGCAATTTGTTTAGTATAATTATGTACATCCAAGGCCCCATGATTGCTAACTCAACTATACCACGTGTGCTAAGTACTCTGTGAGCAATACAGGACAGAATACACTTTAAGAAGATTAAACAACACTTCTCTATTAACTCTTTTTTAGAGATGCAGAATCAACCAAAAGTGACATTCCCCTCCCAAAAAATTTTCCCCCACTAAAAGAGATAAATAGTACTCATGATAAAAAACTCTACAGAAGTCAGCAAGATGTTAGGATAAACTGGACTTTAGTTTTAAAACATGTAGCTTGTTTTGTAAGATCTAAAATCTTGATGTTTTATTTCTTAGTAAAATGAGCACTACTTCATGTGATAAAGAAACAAATATTCTTGTAAAAATGTAATTTCAATGTCAGACTTTTAAATTAAAAATTCATAGCTCCTTTCTTAGTTCCAGTAGTTTTCTTTACTTAGAGGCTGTGATAACCGACACAATTCTAACATGAAGATCCTTAGCTAGTTATACTGAGCCTGTTTTTATTAAGATTTTTACTTACATTCATAAGATTTTTAAATCAACAATCTATTTTAAATAGAGGAGAAATACCTATATAGTTTGGAAGACTTTCTTTAACTGTCTGCAAATTAAAATTAAAACTGGTTAAATTATACTCAGTGGAAGAACACTATTTCAATTCAAACCATGCCTTGAACAGGCACTGAGAAAGAACCAAGCCACTAGGAATGTTGCCACTATTGTTTTATGTTCGGTAAATGTTAGAATTTTAAATAAATACAATAAATTTACACTGCACCAAGAGCACCTGAAACAGAGGTGCTGAAACTACAGATTGTAACACCTGTTCTAACCTAGAAATGCTAAATATCCTATTTCAGATACTCTCATTTGTAAGTTAATACCTGCAATGTAACAATGGCACTTTTCCACAGTATTCTGGGAGCAGTGTCACTTTCTTGCCAATCTTATGGATTCATCTCCTTAACTAACTCTACAATTATACAACATTTATCTTCCTTTAAGAAAAACTGTGCTATACACAATCACAAGAATATATAACTAAGCTTAATCACACTGTAATAAGAAAACTCACATTTGTATTTCGTTTCTGTTGAAGGAAGAATGACGTGTTACCATAATACTTTTAATGTAATGACTTTTGTTCAGGATTATGAAAAAATTTGAATCATTTCTTTCTAGCCATTTCATTTCATATTTATACAGTTTGTTTAGCTAGCCAACCAAAAAGAAAGAAAATAAAGGAAAAAGATACTTGGCCAGATGACACACAGAGAGAATGCTAACCCGATTTCAATGCATGGGGTTCTTGGTTGCTCTGCTCCATGGACCGGGGCAAAGCAACGATGTTCTGGTGAATGCTAAACAGAACGCCAGGTCAGTCCATTTTTACTGGGCTCAAGAAAATTCTCAATCAAAGCATCAATCAGTTTCTTTAATTCCTCTTCGAGTAAGGCAGTGTCACTGAGGAAAAAGGTTAAGAGTTTTGAAATTATTTCCATAGCCTTAAAATGTGCTTAAATTGTTGTAACTTTTTAAGAGTGCATATACTTCATGGGATGATTAAGTAACTGGTAAACAAGAGAGAAATTCACTCGGGTAAAACAAAACAAGACCAAAAGTGGAAAGAGGGGAATCACACTCACAGAAAACACCATTCTCACAAACTGAGATTGAACTGCATTAAAAGGAGGTCCTTGGTACATGAAACATGGATGAGTTTGAGTATATCTAAAGACTGCTCCTAAAGCAGGCAATTTAAATGGCTCAGAACACCAATACCAGGTATTAAGATAAACTGGCTTCCTGAAATACTTCGACGCATACCTCTTATACATTATTATGGGATGATACAGCATATCTTTTAGGAAGTAAAGAAAGAAGTGTAACTAAAAATGTAAGATGTTTAAAAAAATACCAAGTATTCCCTTCTGTTATCACCTGAAGAGCTGCCATTACCCCAAAAATCTCTCTTTTCAGAAGTCTCCTTAAAACTGCCTTCACCGTCATTTTACAAGCTACACAACAAATTTAATTTTTATTATGTTAATAATCGCCCTTCATTTTAAACCAAAGATAGCACTGTTCAATTTGCTTTACTTTTTTTTCTTTTTAAATTTGCTTTACTTTAAACTCTGCTCTGAATGACTTCAGGAGGTCATTTTCTCCCCCCAAAGGAAATAAAATCTACTCTTAAACACAAAGGTTTAGAGAAATACTAAATAATTAATGTACATTGCTCTGAAGGCAATTCCAAAAACAATCTCCTTCCCCAATAGGTATTGACCAATGACAACATTATAGGAGATACTACTCATAAGTTTAAATACCCTCTAAATGTTATTAAAGTCAAGTTATCACAATTTATACTCTCTTAAAAGGATATTAATTCAGCATATTAAATCAAATCATATTAAATGTAGAAAATGAATATTTAGCAATGAATAAATTATTTGTTGATCATTTCTTTATGCTTAGCCTAAATAGTTCAAGCTTTAAAGAGTCTTCCCAGGAATATAAATTCACTAAAAAATTAAGATTCAGTTCCCAAATAATGCAGTTTTTTTGGAAAAGAGTCTGGCAGTTCCTCAAAAAGTTAAACATAGAACTACCATATGGCCCGGCAGTTTTCCTTATATAAGTATGATATATACCCAAGTTAAAAGAAAATATATGACCACCCAGAAACTTGAACACAAACATTCAGACCACCATTATTCATAACAGCCAAAATATGGAAATAACCTAAATGTCCCTCCTCTAATAAACAGATTAAAAATATGGTGTATCTATACATTGGCATATCACTGGGCCATGAAAACAAAATTTCTAAAAAAGGAATAAGGTACTGATTCATGCTAACATGGATGAAACTTGAAAACATTATGCTAAATAAAAGATGCCAGTCACAAAGGACCACATATTATGTGATTCCATTTATATGAAATGTCCAGAATAAGAAAATCTATAGTGATAAGTAGTAGACTGGTGGTTGCCTAGGGCTGGGAAGAAGGAGAAAAGGGAGTGACAGCTCATTGGAAGGGGCTTTCTTTCTGATGTGATGAAAATGTTCTAAAATCGACTATAGTGATGTTTCCACAACTCTGAATATACTAAAAACCACTGTACTGTGCACTTTAAATGGGTGAGCTATTGGGTATGTGAATTACATCTCTTAATAAAGCATTTTTTAGTTAATGTTTACTGGAGTACATTGCTATACAATGTTGTGTTAGCTTCTGTGGTACAGCAAACTGAAATCAGTTCTGAAATCAATAAAGCTTTTATACATACATAATATTTTAAAAGTTGATTCCTACCTCTGGTCTGGTGATGCGCACATCTCTGCATAATACTTTATCTTTGGTTCTGTTCCACTAGTCCGAAGAGTAGCAACACAGCCATTTTGAAAAGTAAATGTAATCATTTGGCTGCTTTTACTTACAGGCAGCACCTAGGCAGAATTGCAACAAAGGTTCAGTTACACTTGGTACCTTTCTCATTTTCAAGAGTTGTAAAATACATTTCACTTATATGAGGTGTGTAAAGCAGTAAAACTCATAGAAAGAGAAAGTAGCAAGGCAGTTGCCAAGGGTTAGAGGGAGGGGGAAATGGAGACTTATTTAATGGGTATAGAGTTTCAGTTTGGCAAGATGAAGTAGTTCTGGAGATCTGTTACACAACAATGTGATTATTAACATTACTGAACTCTTAAAAATGATTAAGATGATAATTTTATGGGTTTTTTTTTTTTTTCATGCTCAGTCATTCAGTAGTTTCCAGCTCTTGGCGACCCTACAGATTGTAGCCTGCTAGGCTCCTCTGTCCATGATGTTATCCAGGCAAGAACACTGGCGTGGGTTGCCATTTCCTCCTCCAGGTGATCTTTCTGACTCAGGGATCAAACCTATATCTCCTGTGGCTCCTGCACTGGCAGCAGATTCTTTACTACTGAGATACCTGGGAAGCCCCTGAATTTTTTTTTTTTACTGCAATTAAAATTTTTTAAATATTTTAAAGAACTTTAAAATACAAAAGATTACATTCATAATAATTCATAACTGTACCATTTACTGACTATTTATAATTGTAGAAGCATTGGACTATATACCTTATACATATGATCTCCAGGCCTCAACAATAATCCTACAAAGTAAATATTACTGACCATTTACAGACAAGGTTCAAAGAGGGTAAACAACCTGTTCAAGGTAATCAGCTAAGTGGCAGAGCAAGAAATTGAAACCTGGCCTATCTGTCCCAAAGTCCAAACTACCTCTACTTTTGCAAAGTGCTTCACAATTTCAAGACACTTTCACAGATAGTTTTTCAACAGTCTCCAAAGCAGAGTGCACACATCCTAGAGGGCAGGCAAAATAAATCCACTGGGGTGCAAATATATATAATTACCTAAAAATCAAACAAGAATGAAGTTTTACTGACATAAATATATAGATTAACACAGGTACTCTTCCTGCACCACAAACCTTCACAAATCTGTGAAGGGATCTCGAGGGAACTATGGGGGTTGTACTGGGGCGGAGGAGTTGACGGTGGAGCCTTTCCTCAGGGGTCCTGAGCCTGGTCCTCTCCGTGAGTGGTACTACTAGCTGCTCAAGACAGAAACCTTCCTTCCCTCTGTTCCACTCACTGACCATCAACTAGCAAGTCCTGGTTATTCTATCCTGTATTTAACTCAACTTTGTCAGGCTCTCTCCTTCACTACTGCTACCATATTACATTCAGGCTCCTGTCGTCTCTCATCTCCGTTACTGAAACGGCGTACTAATTGATCTTCTCACCCCTCTCTGACCCACTCACCGTACACGCCATCCTTCCCTGCACCCTGTACTACTGCTGTAGAGAACTTCTTGCGGTTCCTTGAAAGAAAACATGACTTCTCACCTCCAGACGTAGTGCTTACTGCCCCCTTTGCCTCAAACATTCTCTGTTCCTTCTACATCTGGATAACTCCTACCCAAACTCTAGAACTCAGCTCAGAAAGTCCTCTGCAGAGTCCTGCATGAGCCCCTCAAGTCTGAGTAAGGGTCTTTCCTATGCTCTTTCATGGCACTCTTAGGCACCCCCTAATCATTTTGTAATCAGTTTACTTGACTGTTTCCCTACTAGACTCCTACAGTGTCTTTGTCATTACTGTCTTCTCAGTATAGCACAGAAGGGTTGTGATAAATGCCTGTTGAACACACAGATGAACGTCAATCTGAAGTTGGAGAAGAAAGAACTCAGGAAGTCTTTGACAGTCACTATGTGACCCCAGGGGATTAACAAATATCCATACTACAAGCCTTACAAAATCTGTTGTAAGCATCAGTGGAGAATAGATAGGAAAGCACTTGGAATAACAAATATCATAAACTTTAAAGGGAGTCAAGAGGGGAAAAGCATCATACCAAGAGCTATTCTAACCATAGCAACACTAGAGAAATAAAAAGAAGCAAAACATTTGGTTCTTCTTTTCAAGTAGTTTATAAACACAGAAAAACATACGTGCATACAGACAGAATAACAACAAAGAAGAACCAATTTTGGTTGACTAGATGAAAATACACAAAGGGAATATGGGTAGTATTCTACATAAGAGGCTGCAGCTTTTCCAAAATATATTATGCTCCTAGACTCTTGAGACAATATCAGACCATTATACATGGAAATTTAGGTTAATAATAACAATCATAATAATAACAAAATAAATATAATCAGCAATCTATGGCATTTAAATGTTAGTTGCGCACCTACTGTGTAGGCAAGAGCTTTGAGAGGCATAAAGGTATATTAGAAATGAATCTGCCATGCACAAGACAATGGTAACATGACATAGAAAGTGATAAGTGAACAGAGGAAGGCACAATATAAAAAGAAACCTCAGGAGGAAGATATCTGATTATGAGTCCTGGAACGTATATGGAGGAGGTGACATCTGCATGAAGTCTTAAATAATGGCTAAAGTGTGAATCTGCAGCAGTAGGAAGAAAAAGTGGACTAAGGAAAAAGCTTGAGCAAAAATAGAAAAATAATTTTTTAATGTTTATATATAAGAAGTATATGTATGTTATCCCATTTGGCTGGAGGTATAGAAAATAAGGTTGAAAAGGGATACCACTGAGCCACCTAGGAAGTCATGCATTCATAGGGAATAAGATTGAAAGGGAAGCTAAAACTAGAAAGACACATAGTTTTGAAATTATAGGCATTTATTTATTTATTCATTTATTTTTTTAGGTGCTAAGATGATTAGTAAAACATTCATCTTTTAAAAATTTAATTTTATTTTTAAAATTTTAATTGAAATATAGTTGATTTATAGTGTTGTGTTAGTTTCAGGTGTACAGCAATATATATTCTTTTTTAGATTATTTTCCATTATAAGTTAATACAAGATATTGAGTATAGTTCATACTATGAAGTAGGTCCATGTTGGTCATTTATTTAATGTGTGTATATGTTAACTCCAAAGAAAGTTAGTGACTTAGTCATGTCTGACTCTTTGTAATCCCATGGACTGTAGCCCAGCAGGCTCCTCTGTCCATGGAATTCTCCAGGCAAGAATACTGGAGTGGGTTGCCATTTCCTTCTCCAGGGGATCTTCCTGACCCAGGGATCGAATCCAGGTCTCCGGCATTGCAGGTGGACTCTTTATCAACTGAGCCACCTTTAACTCCAAACTCCTACTTAATCCCCCATCCCTTTTCTCCTTTTGTAAGCAAAAGTTTGTTTTCTATGTCTGTGAGTCTGTTTCTGTTTTGTAAATAACTTCATTTGTTTAATTTTTTAGATTCCACATAAAAGCAGTATCATATGATGAAATTATAGGCTTTTAGACTTAAAAAATTTTCAACATTATTCAGCATTATCACATTTTTTCTCTCCCTCCCACCCTCCCTCCCTCATTCTGTATCTCATCCTCCTTCCCATTCCCCACCCTCAGGGTATACTATACCCTTGGGGAGTGATGAGGACAGGATGGGTGAGAGTCAGAGCCAGTTAGTGAACTTACAACTGCTCTGGAGAAAAACAAGGATCCTAAATTTTAAGAAACTCACAGGCTTGACCTTCCATTCTACTGTAGTATGAATTATTACAAATTGTTAAAAACTTTAAAATATAGGTACTTACTGATTTCTTATTAGGCTGGCTGCTGTCATATCCAGTGGTAATATCTCGTACGTGCAATATAGCAAATGTCCCACAAAACTTTGGGTATTCTTTTGGAGAATCAAAATTGCGAAGCCTTTCAAATATACTTTTGATGGTAGTTGGATCATAACATAAGAAATATGAAGTTTTTGAAATATGATAACCATATCTGTACAAAGATTTAAAGTGTTAAAATCAGATTTCAAGTCACTTTTTAGAAAAGTACAAATTACAGATAAGCCTATTATTGTGTTAAGCAGATAGTGGCAGTTCTTCATGCAGACAATATTAGTACTTTTTATTCTTTTTTTTTTATTAATATTAGTACTTTTTCAAAAGGAATGACTATTCCTCAAAACAAGTTTATAAAGTTAAAAGTAGCACCAAAGAAATTAGAGCATGAAATTCCAAATAGTAGAACTTACTTTTCATAAACGTTAATCAGTTGCTGTTTCAATGTTATGTTCATGGTTTCCAGGTACGATGCCATCTCAGCAACAACAACAGCTGCACTCACACCATCTTTATCCAAAACTGAAGTTCCACACAGAAAACCTAAGAATTAAAAAACAGCTTTAAAAAGGAGGAAAATATAAGCCTGCGCATAATTTCAGTAGTTTCATATTTCTTCAGAAGGATCAATGCATTTAAGAGCCTCGTAATAAAGGAAACCCACTGATACTGAACATATGTAAGGGACCTTTAAGGGTTTTTTTTTCTGATGAGAAATGTACTTACACTTTTCTGAGTTCTTGATAGTTTTTATAACTCAAAATGTAAAACCAGATGACAAAAATTCCTCTCTACAGAATTACTATATTTGAAAAAAGTGCTCTCATTCATATTTCAAATATTTTAATATTTACTACATACCTATAGACTCTTCAAATGAAAAAAGGACTTCTTTCCCATTTTCCAGGAGGTCTTTTATCCTACTTCCAATCCATTTAAAACCTGGTAATGTTTCCTGAAATGCAGAAGAGGCCACTCTAGTTAAGTGACTGTCTCAAAAAATATATATATTAGAGAAAAGTCCATCACTAAATGCACATAACACCTCGATAATGATTTTCTGTTATGGTCTTCAGTCTACAAAGATTTATATAGTGGTAAACATACAGTCATAAAGTGCATGGATATATACACTGCCATGACTGATGACTTGCTATTTATCGAGCATAGTAATAGTGATATAATTCACCAAATATAATCCAATAAGTGGTGATGTATATAGTCACAAAGTACCATAAATCCACACATATATTATGATCATACACTATTTACCAAGCACTGTAATAGTTGCTTTACATCATTATCTTTTTCAATGATCACAAAAACTCTGTTACTGAAACAGAGGCTAAGAGGTTCAGTAAATTTGCCCAAGAGTACCCTGCATATGAGAGAGCCAGGATTCAATATCACTTCTCAGAAATAGCTCTTTAAGTTGCATTATAAGCACTAAATGTAAAAGTGCCTATGAAGGTTGTAATGTAGTCCCTCTGAGTAACCAAAGGCCATAAAGCTTTTTAACAACGCACTTTTAACATTATTACAACATATACTTGAACCAGGTATACTTTTACCATAACACCATGGCCCAAATAAAACCATCAGGAAAGTTAGTAGGTTCTTCTTTGATAATTAGATTTGAACTTTTCATCTGATGAGCTAGTGTTCATTTTAAAGACATGAACTGCTTTAGAGTTAGAAAGAGTATGTGATACACAGTGACTCTAGAGCTCTCTTACTAATTTAAGATTTCTCATTCACCTCTCCACCTCTTCACTGAGAAAAAAAAAAAAGCCCCAAATCTCTGCAGCACCACTTCCTGTAATACAAACAAGAAAGCACATATATAATATTGGTCTTTAGAAGCATGTTTTTTTTCTCTTTTGTGCTCATTATGCATTTTCTTGCTACAAGGAAAAGACCCTGATGCTGGGAAAGATTGACAACAGGAGGAAAAGGGGGCAATAGAGGATGAGATGGTTGGGATAGCACCATTGACTCAATGAACATGAGTTTGAGCAAACTCTGGGAGATAATAAAGGACAGAGAAGCCTGGCGTGCTGCAGTGCATGGGGTCACAAAGAGCTGGATATGACTGAGTGACTGAACAACAACAATAGTAATTCAGAATTTTAGGTTTGAATGAATTTTCCATTTCCTCTATTTTGCTATATGTAATTTAGAAAGCCAGAGATTGAAAGTTCTATTTCATTAAGAAAGATATCATTTTCTTTTAGTTAGCCTATTAGTGTTAAGACCTATAGCTTGACTGTGGCTCAAGAAAAACGCCCAGAGGTGACTTTTTCACTGATATTTGGCAAAGTGGGCAGAGGAAAAGCAACTTAATTGGCATTAGTCCCAGTAGCTATAAAAGAGGTCAGTTTAATTGCCCGAGGTTCACAAAGGTTAATGATCTGTGTTGGGAGAGAATCATTACGTTTTTTGGATGTAGACCACTGGGTCTTAATTTGTAATTTAGGAGACTACTTAAAGTTTCTTTTCTTTTTTTTTTAATTTAAAAGTTTCTTAAGACTGAACCTGAAGAGGCTAAAAAGTGGTTATGACACCTACATTTTTTTGGAGTGGAGTTTATGTTATTTATGAGGCCACTGGGAGCCAGATTTTCTTGGTAAGAAAGCCAGATACTGTTGTATGGAAAAATAAGCATTAATGCAATTTGTAAGAATGTTTATCTTAGTTTCAGAAACTCACATATAGGATGAATTTGGCTCAAGGTCTCCAAACTATCAAAAAGACTTAATCTTTTATTTAGGTGTTAACAGCATTTGAAAAGAGGGAATTAGAAATGAAATCAATAAAAGTTAACTTTGGTAGGGAGATGGCTTTAGCTTACAGAAATAGGTTTAGAAAAGGAGCACATAGATATTACCTATTCTTACCTCAAAGTGAAATCCTTCTTTTAGTGCAATTGCCTTCAAAATTTTGGAAGAGACTGTGGTGGCTAACATATAAATGTTCTTCACATCAGCATTTCTTGATTTACTTTTCTTCCAGCAATCAAACATCCACCACCCAAACAAGGCTGCCAACTCATTCCCTGTGAAAACTTTCCAAACACCACTGTAGAGAGAATGAAAATTCAAGTCAAGATCTTTGTAACTTCTCATTAAAACTTCTTGACCCCAGGACCTACAAATTACCATCCTTCACAAAGGAAAACCTAAAAATGACTCTATGGGATTTTTGAGAAAACATTTACTATTACTTTTCTAACTCAGGGTGAGCTTAGGGTAGGAATGGCAGCAATGTACTTTGAAAAGTTATGACACTGTTACTTGTATTTTCTTACTTGAAGAGAAAAAAGTTATAATATGGTGTCCTTTTTATGTAAGGACATTTTTCATGACATTATAATGGCAAAAATACACAACAACCCAAAGAACCATGATTAGGAAATGATTACATTCATAAAGCAATCTGTTGAGATACTACACTAGTTTAAAAATTAATATTTTAAATAATATTTAAAGATAGAGAAAAATGCTAATAGTACAATATTATGTGGAAAATAAGACACAAAAGTATTAATATATATATGGGATGACCACAATTTTATAAAAAACAAATACATCTTGAATATTTGAATGAAGAAAACAGGAAGGAAATGTCAAAATATCAACCTAGGTGGTTATCTCTGGATAGTGGGCTTACAGGAGATTTCTTTTCATTTTTAAAAAAATTATTTCCAATGAGCCTGTAAGACTTAAAATCAAAACCTGCTTTTCAAAGTTTAAGATTTTAGTCAAATAACAGTTTCTACTTACTTCTCCTGAAGTTCTGCCACTGCCAGTCGGTCTGCATCAGGATCTGTAGCCAGCACTATCCGGGCATTTTCTTTCTCTGCCAGTCTCAAAGAAAGTTCCTGAACAGTGACCCAAAAAGCTGAATTACATTGAAGATGTTAAATTCAATGTTCATTTTCCTAAATGTATGCACTATGTTAGTGATAATGAATTTTAGAAGGAATATAGTTTGGCTAATTTTTTTAACTTTATTTCACAGAAGTATAGTTGATTTACAAGGTTGTGTTGATGCCTGCTGTACAGTAAAATGGTTCAGGTACACATATATATATTCATTCTTTTTCATATTCTTTTCCACTATGGTTTATCATAGGATATTGAATATAGTTCCCTGTGCTATATTGTAGGACCTTGTTGTTTATCCATTCCATATGTAATAGTTTGCATCTGCTGATCTAGTTTGGCTAAATTTAAAATAAGACTAGGAAGTAGGGAAATCCACCATAGAGATTTCAAACAAAACAGAATATATGGCTCTAATACAATTTAAAAGATGTAAGCTAAAGTAGTTTTTGCTTCTGTAAGTAATCTTTGAATTGTCAGAGTCCTATCCACATGATAAACTTTAATATACTAAATCATAATTTAAATACAGAAAAAATATACCAGCACAGATTCTCCTTCTTCAGGATTTGGGCATTTAACAGTAGAAAAGTCTGGATCAGGATCTTTTTGTTCTGGTACTGGAATTGGAGGCTTAAAACCAAATACTTGGAAAGCCAATTGTACATAGTCATGTCCGACTCCATGAAAAGATGTATGTACAAATTTCAAGGTGGTCTTTGAGTTTAATTCCCTGTAAAGGAAAATATCATTCAATCAATGTCATAAAACTCATTACTTGTGGTATAATTAAAATAATCTTGAGAAAAGGCTAAAATCTATTTTGTCAGGATAGGAAAACTACACTCAACAAACCACAATGTTCTCTGAAAAGCGTTAGCTATTTATGGAATAGTTATAGGAACATGGAAATTGGTAAGGAAAAGTAAAATTTTAGAGGAAATTTCCTTATATACAGTGAATACAAATATTGAGTTATAATTTTTAACAACTTTATTAAGAGGTAATTAGTAGCAGTTAAAAAGTAGTTTAAAAGTGTTAGTGGCTAAGTCATGTCTGACTCTTTGTGACCCTATGGACTGTAGCCTATCAGGCTCCCCTGTCCATGGAATTCTCCAGGCAAGGATACAGGAGTGGGTAGCCATTCCCTTCTCCAGGGAATCTTCCTGACCTAGAGATTGATCCCAGGTCTCTTGCATTACAGGTGAATTCTTTACCATCTGAGACACCAGGGAAACCCATCAATATACTATAAATTCATCCTAAAGTACACAATTCAATGGTTTTCACTATATTCACAGAGTTGTTCAACCATTACCATAATCAATTTTAGAAAATTCTAATTACCCCCCAAAAAACTCCATACCCCAAAGCCACCACACCCTAACCCTCCCATTTTTCCCAGCCACAGGCAACCACTAATATACTTTGTTTCTATATAGATTTGTCTACACTAGACATTTCATATCAATATAACCATCTAATATGTGGTCCTTTGTGACTAGCTTCCTTCACTTAGCCTATTTTTAAAATTTATCCACGTTGTAGTATGCAACAGTACTTCTTTTTTACTGCTGAATAATATTTCATTGTATGGATATACTAAAAATATATTTCTAGCCATTTAACTATTGATGAATATTTGGGTTATTTCTACTTTTTGACTACTATGAACTGCATTATTTACCTATAATTTTACTATAATGAATAGCCAACATATTTTTATCCTTATTTCTTCTGTTATTTGTTAATCTTATGGTAAGGTAATATTACCCTACATTCCCTCTTGGATACCTGTAAAAACAGATCTTTTTCAGATCATCCATGTATCTCCTACAAATGTCCTGCAAAGGATCTCTCTTTAGTGGGCTGGTATCCACTAAATTATCATTCCAAGAACCATTCCAGGGTTCCACACATTCTTCTATACATTTCAGAATTTCTTTATCATGAGGAGATGTGATCTGAGCACCATTTTCCCAATAAACCTAGAAGATAGGTAAACACAGCTATAAGCACTTGAAATGTTGGCCATATGTTTTCTTAGCTACAACAGGGATATTTGACTTTACAAAGAAGCACACCAAATTAGTCAAGTAGAAAATGTCAACGCTGGACTAACTTAATAAATACCTAAGGATATTGATGGTAATGATTCCATAGGGGCTTTTCAACAAAATGATTCTGTATTATTTTCTCATTTAGAAGTACATTTTAATAACAATACAAGTAAAATATAATCAGGGCACCATTATGACATTGTTAAAATATGTATATATCATAGCATCCAATCATAATCTTAGACCTATAACTATATACTAAAGAAGATCTAAGAAACCATGGAAAAAACTTGATACTATGAAATTTTAGCATTATAAAGTGTTTCTGTTATATGATAAAGAAGAATTTATTTTTCAGCTATAAATTAAACTAGATTTATGTCACACCAAATAAAGTCTACTATTTCTTAGTGGAAATATAGAACAGAAAAAGCTCTGCCCACTATTACTGAAAGATGATAAGGTAGCATGTCTCTCTTCTTAAGTTCTGGGTGATTAAAATATTTCAAATCTGAGGTCTACAGTAACATAAAAATTGCTCCCAGTTGGTGAAACTCCTGAGGTTCCTGCAGAAATTTAAAAAACAAAACCAAAGATCCAGTTGAATGGATGCTCCCACATTCCAAGCAACCAACAAGATCCTGTTCATGAGCCCTGAAAGCTCTCCATGAAAATTTATTTAACATGAGAAAAATAATCTTGGCCTTTCTCCCTGCCTTTCTTCTTGCCTTGTATGTGAATGTGATGCCTAGAGGTATAGCACCGCTTATACAATGAGCACTTGAAGAAAAGGCCAAAACAAAACTGCAGGGATGCTAGGTCCAACAACATTGAGCTATAGAACCATACCAGCTGCCACATACTTCTGGATTTTTTGTTGTGAGAAAAAAAACTCCTATCAACTTTAGCCACTTTTATGGGTTTTCTGAACCTGTAGCAGAAAGCATCCCTCCCTGATACAGTAACAGAGAAATCTGTGCAAAAAAATAAACCCAGGAATAAACTTAAAAAGAAATGTGAAAGATAAAAATCTTTAAAATGTTACTAAAGGGTCTAAAAGAAGTCTTGGAAGAATACATTCTGTTCTTGAATAAAGAGACTCAAAAATTACAAAAATACTGAAGCTCTCTAAAGTAATATACAAGTGAAATATCATACCAATGAAATGCCAAAATAATTTTTCCAGATGGAGAAAAATACCATAATAACATGCATGGAAAAATAGTCAAAAGGTAAACAATAATATGTGGAGAAATACCTGAAAGACAGATGACTAAGCACTACTTTGGAGTTTTCACAAATCTACAAGGAAAAGAGCAAAGAGCAACTACCAAAGACAAAAATGAGTAAAGCCTTTAATAGACTTTTCAGGAAAGGGAACACAAATATCTTATAAATGTATGAAAAGATGCTCAACCTCACTCACAAGACAGGTACAGATTCAAGATAACATTTCCACATATCTGACTGGCAAAGATGAAAAGGTTTGACAAACAATAATGGATGGTGTGGGATAAAGACCCTCCTATATTGCTGGTGAGAGTAGCAGTTGGAACAACCACCTTGAATAGAGAATGACAAACTTTATTTCATAGTTCCTTTGACTCTGAAGTTTCACATCTAGAAACTTATTCTATAGCTCAGCAGGGCCATAGAAATATAATGTGAGCCACAATGTAAACCACATATTTCACATGCCTTTTTTGTACTGTCTTCGAAATCTGGTGTGTATTTTACATTTACAGCACATCTCAATTCAGACTAGTCATACTTTAAGTGCTGGGTAATCATAGGTGGCTGTTGGCTATCAGATTGGACAGTGCAGCTACAGAGAATAAGAATAAAACAACAGGTAACATTTCTCAAGTATTTATCAGAGCCAGATACTATACAAGCATTTTTCATACACTGTCTCTCTTAATCCTAACTCTTGACCTAAAATACTGGTTCTATTATTACTCTCAGTTTACAGATGGGGAAACCAAAGCATAGAAAAAGTAAGTAATTTATCTTAGGTTACAAAGCTTCTGAGTGGTGGAGGTAAGATTCAAACCCAGTCCATAACACTCTTAACCACTATTCTATAATGACTCTATAAATCTACTTGTGTATATGAACAAAGATGTATATAGAAAAATATTCATTGTAGCACTGTGTGTAAGCAGTAGCAGATTAGAAACAAAATAAAATGTTTATCAATAAGGATTGGTTAAATAAATTATGACTCATCCATATAGGTTTTTAAAAATGAATGAGGCAAACCTATTTATAGATCGACTAATGTAGAGAATGGTCTCTAAGACTATTTCACACTGTTGTGTGAAAAAAACAAGGTACAGAACACTATATATAATACCCTGACATTTATGAGGGAAAAAAGAGGGATTGACCAATACTACTCATATGATTACACAGGCATAGACTACCTCTGGAAGGAAACTAAAACCAGAAACAATATTTGCTTCTGAAAAGGGATGCTCAGGAAAAGAGGTGGGGAAAATATTCTTTATTGTTTAACTTTTTATAATGTTTAACTTTTATACTTTTTACCTTGTGCTGATACTTTAAGAAAAAAAATATTTGCGGGTCTACTCTGTGACAAGTATGTTCAATAACAATAAATATCAAAACAAAGTCCCACCACCCATGAGCTTATATTGGGGAATTGGCGGGGGAGGAGGATCAAACAAACAAGTCAATAAACAAACAAGATAATTCATTATAAAGAAAGCAGATAATGATAGATAGTGATAAGCTCTGTGAAGAAAATAAATAAAATGAAGAGAAGATCATTGAGGGGAGCCATTTCGGATAAGGTGGCCAAGGAAGGTCTCTTCAAGGAAGCAACATCTGGGCAGGAAACTTAACGATGAAAATAAACAAGTCTGTGAGATTTGGTGAAGAGCAATCCAAGCAGAGGAACAAACAAAATACTCAGAGCAAGAAAGGGTTTGGTATACTGGAGGAACCGGGAGAATGGAAAGAAGCTTCAGTGTGACCAGGACACAATGAGCACAGAAGAGGACTGAATGGAATGAGGTAGAAGAGGCAGGCAGGAGACAGAGTCCTATAAGCCCCAAGGTAAGGAGATTGGATTTAGCAGGAAAGCTAACATGACGTGTTTGTATTTTAAAAGATCCTCTGGCTGCTTGGTGGAAAATGGACTGCAGGGAAGAACAATGGAAGCAGGGAAGAGACCAGCTAGGATGATGTTGTTCAGGCAAAGACAATGGTTTAGAACCATGGAGGTAGAAGACATGGGCAGAAGTAAACATATTCTACATAGATTTTGCATGCAGAATTTGTCTACAAATTCTGTTAGAAAATTAAATGTCTGGAGTGAAGGAAAGGGAGTAATCAAGAATGAATTTTGGTTTTTGCTTGGGTGGGTGGTAGTGTGAATTTATAGAGATGGGTAAGACTTGGGGAGGAACACATTTGAGAGCTTGTTTGGAGGTTCTAGCAGGGGAGCGCAGCTACTCGTATACCCTTGGCCGAAGACCGGTCCTCCTCTATCAGGGCTGGTTGTCCTCTTCGACCAAGCGTGGAGGAACACATTTGAGTGTGCATATGGCAGGTTGTGGGAGAATCAAGGCCTCTGTTCTAGAGATACTAATTTTGAGACATGTTAGGCATCCCAATGGATATCAGGTTGGCAACTGGATGTAGGAGTCTGTTGATCAGAGGACAGATCTGGGTTCTTTACTTTCTTTGACAATTGACTGCTCCCTCCTTGCTACTCTCTTACCCCTTTGGTTTTGTAACATCAGTCTTTTCCTGTCTTTGTCCTGACTCCAGATTCTCTTCTTTCTCCCTTCATTTGAAGTTGATATCCCTAGGGATCCATTCTTGACCTCTTTTTCTAACCTACACTGTTTCTGAGCTGCCCATCCAAATAAAGAACTTCCAAATATTCTTAAATGCTCTAACATAATATGTACAGTGATCCCAAATTTCTCCTCTGAACAACAGATCTCCATATTCAACTGCCTACAGGTTGCTGCTGTTTGATTGGCCCACAAATCCCTCAAACTTAATTATGTCCCAAACTAATGAATTAGGCTTCTTCACTGCTTCTGTAAATGGTAATACTTCCCACTTAGCTGGCAAGGGTCAAATCTTAGATTAGTATAAAAATATACTTTTCCCCAGTAAACCAGAGCTCAGTGTGCCTGGAGTCCTCGCCTACACAAGAAGAAAAAGAAATATAAGATCATAGACTCATGAGCCAGGAGCCCCAAACGCTGGCTCAACACTGCTGTATCTTCTGTATGCCCCTTCTGAGCACTCTTCACCCTTCCCCACCCCACTTTCTGCCATGAAGCCTGACATGTCAAACAGATCCTGTGGCCAGTATGGAGTCCCGGCAGAAGACTGGAGGGGAAGGAGGAGAATGAGGTCAAAGTACCATTCCTCCAGCTCTCTTCCTTCAAACTACCACTCATTCTTCAAGTTCTTGGTACAAAATGATTTTATCTCTGAAATGGTAGAGAGGATGATTTGGGATGGGCTAGGGAAATCAAGGGCAGTAAGATATCAGAAGTAAAAAGACCACTGAAGAGACTTTTGTAATAGTACATAAGTATATAAAGGACAATAATACACATTGAGATGTAATAAGGGCCAGTAAGGATACACATTCTTTGAGTGGTGGTGGTACTCAGTAACTTCAGTTGTGTCTGACTTTTTCTGACCCTATGGGCTGTAGCCCACCAGGTTTCTCTGTCCATGGGATTCTCCAGGCAAGAATACTGGAGTGGGTTGCCCTGACCTTCTCCAGGTGATCTCCCCAACCCAGGAATCGAATCCACATCTCCTGTGTCTCCTGCATTGCAGGCAGATTCTTAACCCACTGAGCTACCTGGGAAGCCATTCTCTGAGGGGCAGCCTCAGTGTTTTTATCTTTCTGTTTCCAATGTCTAACCCTGCTTCCCATTGTAGAAAATATACTCAGCACGTATTATTTAAATAAAATAAGAACTATGAAATAACCAAAGATGAAGAGTCCAAGGTTTACCTTGTATCCATTGTCTTCTTTGCGGTTGTGAGACGCTGTAATCATCACACCTGCAACTGCTTTGAGTTCCTGGACTGCATATGGCTAAAAAAGCAATAATACTGTAATTCTGTTTTCTAGCTACTCATATATTTGACACAAGAATAACTTTGACTAAATAACTGGAAAAGACATTAAGATATAAATAGCCTAAAACCTTAATAATCAACTCCAGGTTCACTATGTGGGATATAACTAAAGCCACCTACTAGGTCATCAGTAACCACCTAACTGTTAGACTGAATGCTTTTTTCCCCAGTCTCATTTAACTTAGTCTTATAATTATTTTGTTCCTTTAAGAAATATTTAACAAATACCTACTATATGCCAGATATTCCACCAGACTCTGGAGATATGAGAGGGGAATCTAATCATAAAATATTAGACTTGGAAGTAAATTTAGAAATCATCTAATCTACCATATTTTACACACTGTATACTGCTTATTCAATATTAGGTAATCATAAGGGAGAATTACATAAGCATGAAACATAGGTCTCTTGCCTTTTGATTTGAAGATCTTTACATACACTCTGTGGCCTCTATAGCATATAAAAATCAATTTACCATTTCTCCCAAAGTTAATTCCCAGGTTGAATTTCCCTTTTTCATCACAGTTATTATTTGCCCAAGATGTTCCTCCATTCTACCATCACATTCAACTTTTCTCCTCCTTGCCATGGGGGAATGGGCACGTGACACTGATCTGACTACAGTAACCTATTCCTTTGATGATTTAACTCAGAGACTGGCTCATAAGACCCAATTCTTCTCCAAGATGTTTTTGCTGTAAGTCGATTTCCTCTGACTCAAAGACATGGTGATAAAGAGTGCCAAAAACAACTTCCCTAGCAGCCAGAGCAGATCCACTTGCAATAAGAGAGGAAGGCCAACACATAGTTACAGTTGGAAATGGTAACCCAGAGGCAGACTCCTACAAAAATGTTCAACATATCTGGGCCCTCCTTGATTTCTGTCATTCATTAGAGCTAATTGTTTAAAAATTCCTTAATTCTTTGATCCACTCCGTATATGTCCAATAAATCACTAGTAACAGATTATGGAGACATTATCTAATCATCTAACAATTGGTAAAACTTGCCAACAAAATCATATAGACCTGACATTTTTATTTTGAGAAAATTAATAAAAATTAGTTCAATTTCTTTAATGACTACAGGTCTGTTCAGGTTTTCTATTTCTTATCAGGTTTGATGTATTAATCATTCAAGAAAATTGGCCAGTTCTCCTAAGTTTCACATTTATTTGCATCATGTTCAGATTACTGTGGTTTTCTTAATCTGTTCTTAGTCACTCAGTCATGTCCAACTCTTTGCGACCCCATGGACTGTAGCCCACAAGGCTCCTCTGTCCGTGGGGATTCTCCAGGCAAGAATACTCGAGTGGGTTGCCATGCCTTCCTCCAGGGGGTCTTCCCAACCCAGGGATCGAACCCAGGTCTCCCACCTTGCAGGAAGATTCTTTACCATCTGAGCCACCAGGGATTGTTTTTTCTCTTTTTTTCTTCAGCAGCCTTGCCAAAAGGTCTATTTTACTATTTGTCTCTTCAGAAAGCCAACTCTTGCTTTTGTTGATTCCCTCCTTTTCTTTATTTTCTATTTAGCTGATTTTTCCTTGTATCATTATTTTTTAAATTTTATTTGGGTTTATTCTGTTTTTATCCTAACATACTAAATTAAAATCTTAGTTTATTACTTAAAATTTTTTTTCCTAATATATTCATCAAGACTATAAATTTCCCTTTAAGTAGAGCTTTAGTTATATCTCATAGTTTTTTTCCGACTTAGTGTTTTCATTGCTGCTCATTTTAAAATCCAGACAGCCCTTGTTTGTAAAGTTCCAATACACATAAATTTCTGATACCATGTTTAAGTAAATAATAGCAGTCTCCCAAAAACATGCTCAAATTTCAGTTGCCTATGCTGTAACTATATCAAGTAAAAACTTGGTTCCTAGCTCTTCAGTCTGAAACAACTATGTATATATGAGATCCATCATGATTAGTAACTGATCATGTCACTGGTGGTCACTGTGCATCTGTGAACTATTGCACAGACAGCAAAACATATAGCTGTGTTGCCTCTTTAGCTCCCAGAGATAACTCATGTCACAGTTTTGCAAAACTGGATGACTGAAATTAGGAAATGGCCAACAAAGATGAAAGTGCAGCAAAGAAACAAAAAGTGATAATGGTGGAGGTAACATTTGAATCAATCATAAATGGAGTTACAGAAAAATAACTGGGAACATTGACACTGCTGTCATTCAAGAGACTCTAGATAGGCAATCAGACCAGCTTAGTGAAGGTGAATGTATGGATATAAGTTAAGGATGTGGTTGTGATGAAAACAATGAGATTGTCCTAGAGTAAGTGATACTGGCAAAAAAAGAATTCTCAAAAACATTTTATGACATTGAATGTGCAAAAGATAAAATGTGGAAAGTTAATCCAGACTTGGAAGGGAATTTGATAATTCACCAAGGCATAGAAAAGATCCACACTCATTGTTAAGTTAGGAGAAGGCAATGGCACCCCACTCCAGTACTCTTGCCTGGAGAATCCCATGGATGGAGGAGCCTGGTAGGCTGCAGTCCATGGGGTCGCTAAGAGTTGGACACGACTAAGCGACTTCACTTTCACTTTTCACTTTCATGCATTGGAGAAGGAAATGGCAACCCACTCCAGTGTTCTTGCCTGGAGAATCCCAGGGACGGGGGAGCCTGGAGGGCTGCCGTCTATGGGGTCGCACAGAGTCAGCCATGACTGAAGCGACTGAGCAGCAGCAGCAGCATTGTTAAGTTAAATGACAAGAAGCAAGCACGGTTCACACTCTTGAATTTTTAAAGAAGAAATAAAACACTCAAGTGAGTGTTTTATAGTAATTTTTGCCTGCTTAATAAATCTGTTTCTGAAAGAATATTAAAATATCCTGCCATCACTGTAGACTTATCAACTTGTTATAGATCAAATTCTTAGATGGTTCAACACATGTGTGTTGAATGAAAATAAAGTCAGAGCAATATTTGTTTTCGTTAGGTCCTTTGTATCATTTAATATAGAACTTTATGCATGACAAAGATTTGAACCCTGTTTGATTTAAGAAATACTTTTTCAACAGCAGCAATCTGTATGATCAATGATATAACACACTTACTACAAAAGGTGTAGGAACATATCTTGAAAAAAGATACACAGGAACATCTTTGGCCAGTAAGACTGCAGCAGTGAGCTTAGCAAGCCTGAAAAAGGGACAGAGATTTCACTTGGTCCTTAGCTTACCATACTTAAAAAAACCAACCTCCCACAAAATAAATGCATTACAATTGTTCTGAATATACAGCAATCTAATCTAGCCAATTCTTATAATCACTAGTTATTTAAGCTTCATGCTCCAACTTTAAAATGTTAATAAACAAGATTTTTTAAAAGGAACGTTGACAAGGAACAGAACTGACATTTTAATTTCCTCCTCCTTCCTGATTCAGCTTTTGGTGGCTATTTTACTAAGAAATAAAATTTGCCTTTTGCAAAAGGCAAAAAACATGGAAGAAAGTGAAACCAGAGACTTTGCTAAACACAATATACCTATTTACCCCCTAAAAAAAGTATCACTAGATCATGATTATCTATGTGTGAAAATATGCTAAATCTAATAAAATGGGACTATAATGAGAGAATACAACTTAGATAATATTGCTACCCAGTGCCTTTGCCAAAATAATAAAATCATAAGATAATCTATGATGTCATTCTAAATACTAACTTTAAATATTTAAAAATTCACTCTTTTCTGTAAAAACCAAAGGTTACCTTTGAAATGCTTACGTTTCAGCTCTAAATAAACACCAGCATGTGATCACATTTTTTGGACAGTTTCCTGTTTCAGAACTCCTATTACTGGGCATAAATTTTTTTTCAGATTTTATTCCAATCTAGCTTAATCTCTGAAACAATTAATACTGTACCTCTGGCTGCTGCAGCTGCTAGTTACTTGACCCCGGGTGTCATACCCAACTACAAAGCCTCTTTGCTTGAAGTCTGAGAAACATCTCTCAAGGTATTTGTACATCCCCTGAAGCAGATAAACAGAAAAGATTACTTCCTGAGTAATGCCTACATTTTCAGTGACTTAAAGTCTATGCTTTTTATGTGTGGTGTGCAGCTAATTGGCTCCCAGGGAACTGGCCTCCTCATTTTGACCATGTTCACCTACATGAGAGCAACAATCTTCAATCTTCAAATCTGAGATGACAAACACCCGTTTCCTGAAGTTTTGGACACATTTGATACACAGAAATATCAAGTAACTGTTAAATCTAATACAATGCATAAAATATTAGGGAAAAAATGATGGGACATGAAAGTCAGTATGCTAAAAAAAAAAAAAACTGAAGAACCAAAAGAAATTGCTGTTTGCATTAAGGCTCTAGAGAATGGAAGTTTGACCATTTTAGGTCTTACTAAATTATAAGATTGAAGCTAACTATAAGAGTTGATCTATTTATGACATAAACACTTAAAATCAGCAATATAAACCTTCATTAGAATATTTCTTAAGATGGCTGATCCCATTCCTTAGTTTTAAAATCACAAAGAAAATCTTATAAACAAGGAAAATTTGCACCAAAGGAGACAAAAAGTGGAATAAAGTATTTAATATTGAAAACACCACACTAAGCCAAAGCCATTTAACTATTTTATGAATGATATGCTAACTTTAATAAACACTTTCAACTATACAAAACTAACACTTTTAAAACTACTTTCTCGAATGTTGCCACATTTAATCCTTACAATAACCCCAAAAAGAAAGAAATGCAGATACCAGTTTTATTTCTGTCTCTTGTTCAACATCTCTTCCAAAAAAGAGGAGACAAATAAGATTGAAGCTCTATTTAATGACTTGCCCAAGGCCATTCATTCACGATGTTATACTAATTTAATGAAGACCTATGATACGGCAGGCATTGCTAAGTAACTATGGTGCCAGTACCAAATGAGATTCCAGTGACTTCTAGACCCTTCTTTCACAGTTCTTTCAAGTATAATTATTCTTCCCAACCTACTTCTTACAAATGAGTGTGTCTGTGTGTGCACGTGCACTCACGCATGCAATATAGACCAAACTGACCAACTTATTTGTTTCTAATGATGCTGCTCTCCTAAAATCTCACAGAATCTTATACTTTGGTGTAAAAATCCATCTTATCTTATCCCACTATACCTAGGTTCTGAAAAATAGCTAGAGTTTAAGAATCAGATTCAATCTGGCTTTTCTACTTCACATATTGGAATCTTATTAGCCACTGAATTTAAAGAATTTCCTCAGAATAAGATTTATTGTTCGCCAGTATTGATTAGAATTATATCTAATTCTGTAGTTTAGGATGATTTTTAGTACATGCTAAATGTATTTTAGTCTCCAAAGTGGAGCTCCCTGAAACAGTTAAAGATGATTCACTGGCAAGAGAATGGTTTCTAGAATAAATTGCATAAAAATGGGGAGAAATAAAACAAATTGAATCATATCAACACTGTCTTAACTCTCAAATTATATGGAAAGCAATGTTAAACAGAAATATTTTCAACTAAAATTTCCAAATATTCTGGTTAACCTGTATCAGTGGCCACATGCCAAAATAGATCATCTTCTATCTAAGTGTGCTTCTTTGTATTAAATGAAAATGTCAATAACCATTTCCTGGTTTGAAATGCGAAGTAATACTGTCAAGAAGTTGACGATGGCAAGCAAAATAACCAGAACATCAGTCTGTGACCCTAAAGATACATAGATGACCTCTAAGATGAGTCTTGTGTAAGACCAAAGGTCAGAATTTATATTACATTTTTCATTTGTAAGAAAGTATCTTGCTAGATATAAAGTTTTACTATTTTTTTTTAAAAAAACCTAATTTATAAAGCAAAAAACAGCAATAAAGTACACATATAACAATAATACTTACCTGTGTTGACTGTATTACTGTAAGATCATTAATATAGCAAAATCCTGCCCCCATAGCAGAACGAAGTCCTGCAGTTCCAAAAGTCATTCGGCAACAAAGCCTATCTCGCAGCTCCTTGTTCATCCCATTCCTTAACAGATTTTCAATTTGCTCTTTTGTTTTTGGATTCTATTAAAAAAAATGCATTAAAACTTAATCAGAATCACAAGTAGAGTCCTAATAGGAAGCCCTTCTGAGGAGCCAATAAGTTTTATTCATATATTACAAGGTTCTGCATTCACTATAAATTCCATAATGCTACTTAATAATATTAGTATATAGGGAAGCCTGGCATGCTGCAGTCCATGGGGTCGCAAAGAGTTGGACATGACTGAGCAACTGAACAACAAGAGTAATAAAAAAACACCTGCTATTTACTGAGTCCCCAAAGTGGCCAGACCCAGATATATATGGTTTATATATCTCTAATCATATTTTTAAAATACTATATTTAAGAAATTTTTAACAAACTGACAACCTTAAGAGCTATGGACCCAAAATAAAACTTAGTCAAAAATGATATCAATTATTACCAACTATGTTAAGTTTTAAAAGAAATGTGGGAGCTATTAAATAAATGTTATCACAATATGCCTATTAAATACTTCCTAAACATCTATAATTCAAAATGATCAGATAAGCCTTGTGTGTGTGCATGTGTATGTACTCAGTCATGTCCAACCCTTTGACACCCCATAGACTATACCCTGCCAGGTTCCTCTGTCCATGGGGTTTTCCAGGCAAGAATACTGGAATGGGTTGCCATTTATTCATCCAGGGGATCTTCCCCACCCAGAGACTGAACCCACGTCTCTTGCATTTCCTGCACTGGCAGGTGGATTCTTTATCACTGCACCAACTGGGAAGTCGCAGATAAACCTTACTGCTCTTTAAAATCACAGAAAACTGTTCAATTTATCTATAGCAAAAACTGACCATAAAAAGATCTTAAGTTTAAATGTGGACTTGTTTAAGAATGAGAATGAAAGTTCAGCTCAAACTTGGCTTGTGAAGCAAGACTTGCCAACATCTTCATTTTAGGATTCCTATTTCATTAGCACATACTTCAAGTTATTTTCATAAAGTTCAGGATTCCTATAACTGAAAATAGGGCTTCACAAGTGAGTAGCAAGTTTTGAATTGAAATGTAATTATAAATAAGAATAAAACTTAAATGGAATTTTTCAGTATTTTATTTTTAGGAGAAAGAGTCAAAAATAAGAAAATAAGGTAAACCATAACTTCTCTCTTCCATTACCATACATAATATGGATTTAGTCCTTACTAACTTCTTAGATTGTCTATATCTACAGTCTATATAATGATAATGAATATTCAGAATGATAAGCCAAGATGTATGGAAGATACTAAATATTAGAGTATATTTGCACTTATAGAGAAATAAAATCATGTTACTATATAATTTAAACAAAAAAGTATTCTAATAATGGTGAAAATTAAAGTTATTGGGATACATGCCAAAAATTAATGAGAAGACATGGAAATTTTGATTAACTGAAATTGTAATCTGCTTAAACTAGATGGATGATAAAAATGTATGTATATATACATATATATATAGAGAGAGCGAGAGAGAGAGTATGAGCATTTCTTGACTTAAGGAGTCTCTATTTCATATATGGCACAAACTAACAAATACAGAGTTACTATTAAAATATGAACAGCTATTAAGAGAAAAAGCTAAGCAATAAAATTATCTGGGCTACTATATATTATTCCAATGTCTGTATTATACCACCAAATTTGATACAGAGGTCAAAGAGATTTGAAGAGGATTAACATTTAAAAATAGGTATAAGAAAAATAAAAATGAAAAGACTAAAAATCTCCAGTACTATACAGGGTACAAGGCAGTATCATACAGTTAGTCACACTGAAATTAGGATAGTCTTTTTAGAGAGATTTTGCAGCAATTATCAATATCAAACTGCACATGCCTTTTGGCCCATAGATTTCTCTGTCCACAGTAATATGTTCAAATGAACAAGATTCATTCACACAAGAATATTCATTGCAGTATCTTACTGCTAGTAGTATTATTACCATCATATTGATGAAGAGATTAAGATTTAGAGAGGGAGCCTCATAACACTGAGCTAATTTTGCCGGTCTAGACAGGATCTGAATCCAGGTTGATCTGGCTCTAAAGCCTGTTCAGTTCAGTTGAGTTGCTTAGTCGTGTCTGACTCTTTGTGACCCCATGGATTGCAGGACGCCAGGCCTCCCTGTCCATCACCAACTCCCAGAGCCTACTCAAACTCATTTCCATTGAGTCAGTGATGTCATCCAATCATCTCATCCTCTGTCATCCCCTTTTCCTCCCACCTTCAATCTTTCCCAGCATCAGAGTCTTTTCTGAGTTGCTTCTTGGCATCAGGTGGCCAAAGTATTGGAGTTTCAGCTTCAGCATCAGTCCTTCCAATGAATATTCAGGACTGATTTCCTTTAGGATGGACTGGTTGGATCTCCTTGCAGTCCAAGGGACTGTCAAGAGTCTTCTCCAACACCACAGATCAAAAGCATCAATTCTTTGGTGCTCAGCTTTCTTTATAGTCCAACTCTCACATCCATACATGACTACTGGAAAAACCATAGCTTTGACTAGACAGACCTGTGTTAGTAAAGTAATGTTTCTGCTTTTTAATATGCTGTCTAGGTTGGTCATAGCTTTTCTTCCAAGGAGCAAGCGTCTTTTTTTTTTTTTAGCAAGCGTCTTTTTATTTCATGACTGCAGTCACCATCTGCAGTGATTTTGAAGCCCCCCAAAATAAAGTCTGTCACTGTTTCCATTGTTTCCTCATCTATTTGCCATGAAGTGATGGGACGGAATGCCATGATCTTAGTTTTCTAAATGTTGAGTTTTAAGCCAACTTTTTCACTCTCTTTCACTTTCATCAAGAGGCTCTTCAGTTCTTCACGTTCTGCCATTAGGGTGATGTCATCTGCATATCTGAGGTTATTGATATTTCTCCAAGCAATCTTGATTCCAGCTTGTGCTTCATCCAGCCCAGCATTTCTCATGATGTACTCTGCATAAAAGTTAAATAAGCAGGGTGACAATATATAGCCTTGATGTACTCCTTTTCCGATGTGGAACCAGTCTGTTGTTCCATGTCCAGTTCTAACTGTTGCTTCCTGACCAGCATACAGATTTCTCAAGAGGCAGGTCAGGTGGTATGGTACTGCCATCTCTTTAAGAATTTTCCAGTTTGTTGTGATCCACACAGTCAAAGGCTTTGGTGTAGTCAATAAAGCAGATGTTTTTCTGGAACTCTTGCTTTTTCGATGATTGAGCGGATGTTGGCAATTTGATCTCTGGTTCCTCTGCCTTTTCTAAATCCACCTTGAACATCTGGAAGTTCATGGTTCACGTATTGCTGAAGCCTGGCCTGGAGAATTTTGAGCATTACTTTGCTATCGTGTGAGATAAGTGCAGTTGTGCGGTAGTTTGAGTATTCTTTGGCATTGCCTGTCTTTGGGATTGGAATGAAAACTGACTTTTTCCAGTCCTGTGGCCACTGCTGAGTTTTCCAAATTTGCTGGCATATTGAGTGCAACACTTTCACAGTATCATCTTTTAGGATTTGAAATAGCTCAACTGGAATTCCATCACCTCCACTAGCTTTGTTTATAGTGATGCTTTCTAAAGCCCACTTGATTTCACATTCCAGGATGTCTGGCTCTAGGTGAGTGATCACACCATCGTGGTTATCTGGGTTGTGAAGATCTTTTTTGTACAGTTCTTCTGTGTATTCTTGCCGCCTCTTCTTAATATCTTCTGCTTCTGTTAGGTCCCTACCATTTCTGTCCTTTATTGAGCCCACCTTTGCATGAAATGTTCCCTTGGTAGCTCTGATTTTTTTGAAGAGATTGCTAGTCTTTCCCATTCTATTGTTTTCCTCTATTTCTAAAGCCTGTACCATCTCACTATAAACAAAATAATTATGTAGGGCATGTTAATAATACTTCTAACAATAATTAACTCCAGCTATGAAGCAAACAATATTCCTTTCTATTATAGCTATATAAATACAAAAATGATCACCAGACATTAATGCTATTAGGTTACTGAGTACACTTCCTAATATTTAATTGCACAATCACTAGAATAAAGCCTAAAAGTATTTTCTGTTATACATCACAACCAGTTCTAATGTAATTCTTGGTTCTTAGGAAGCCTGTAATCTGAAGAAAGAATAGATATATTAACAATTCCAAATATTAATATTGTTAAGCATCTAAACAGGAGACAATATATAAAACTGATTTTTTAGTAACTCAAATATATTTAAAATTACAAAACTGTAAATAACACTTTTACCTATTTCTGATAGAGATGAGTGTCTAAACAGTAAACATCAGCTTTATATTAACTATCAGAGAAAAAAATTTATTTTTTTTCTAGTTTATTTCTAGACAAGTTAAAATTGGAAACTGCAATCTGAAAATCTGAAGGGTGAGTGCAACTGACATTTACTTCTGAGGGTCAGCCAGCTTGGAGATCCAAGTGTAGAGTCCTGAAGCAGACATGTTTTCCAAACCAGATGCTTCCCGACTGAGTCCAAAATATACTCTTGTTAAAGCAATAATTTTTTTTCTTTTAATCTTGGTGTAATTCTAAATTTAATTTCTCCATGTTTAAAAAAGTATGGAAATAAATGTAAACTAAATTGGTTTAGGGAAAAAGTTGAATGACTACACTTATCATAAAAAATGATATTTACTTAATAACAACTGGCTTAATAAAATCTGAATAATAATCACTAAATGAACATAAAAATCATATCCAGTAAATAAAGATGCTAACTACTCCAAAAGTAGAGAATAAATTTAAAAAATACATTGTTACTGTTTAAGTATAATATTGATTATGCCAAGATTAGTGTGAAATATAAAAACAATCAGTTTATTTCAAAACTTAAGATTACATAAACAGTCTTTTTTTTAAACTCTTGGGTTTTTTTTTATCACAAAGCACATATGCTGAGTTGAAGTTGACCATTCAGTGACATAGTAATATATATCTCTATAAAGAAATAAAAATATTTCTCATATAAGGTAATCAAAATAAAACATTTTGAATAGTTGCTGTTTTATTTATTGATACA